CTCGGCTAAATACAGTCCGATTTCGGACTGCACGGATTTAGGACATTTAGGTTCACCAGGACTCTTATCAATGATATGGTAATACCAAGGATATTTGGGTCATCTAAGAACCATAAAGTGCGGAGGGGTGGCTAAAAGAAAACGCGTACATAGTTGTAGACCATTTCCGAACGTGTTTCGCATGGATTTTAATTTGATGCCAGTTTATTCTATGGACTTTCACGAGTTCAACGCGCCTTATATGCCCGGGATCGGGCTTTATTTGGCCGAGATATGTCCATATAGAGTTTTTCAAAAACTTTCTAATTGAAATAAAATAAATACAGTCCGATTTCTAAGATACAGCAGCTTTTACAGTTTGGGAAGTCCTAGGCAAACGGTCTGAAAGTTAATCAGACATAAAGATTTATTAATATTAATTATCCTATTTTATTTAGCCTATCAAGTATAGAGTTTAACAGCCTTCCCGCATATTTTGAGCTTTGTAAAAATACAATAATAAATAGACATACGAGCATATTTCACCTATGAGTTGCACTGTTCGTTCCATTTATGCAAAATCATAGAAAAAATTGAGACAATGAAGTCGAAGTTCCTATTTGCAAAACTATTATCTACATATATGTCTATGTCAAATATATATATCCCCATTTTGTATAGCTATTTATATGCAAGGGTATACATTTACGTATATATATATTTGTTAAAATCACATCTTTGAATTGTATATAGCTCGTTAGCTTTATGTACAAGCGGTGCTAACTCGCATTAAACTACGTTCAACTTTATATTTAGGCCCTTATGGTTATTCGATAAATTACTTATGTATTCGTTTTCAGGAAACCTGTTTAGAACATTCGTTTTCTTTGTCTTTATACACTTATGTATTAGCTTAATCTACTTATTAAATGAATTATTTTAGAGATTTTCAAACATTCACGTAATATGGTAAAGATGAAGTTTAGCTCAATGCGATATATATTGTTCAGCAAACCTTGATATTCTACCTGTGAGTCAAATTTGTTGACTTTAGGAGCAAAATACAATAGAAACTCGTTCATGGATAAACAAAGATATCCAGCTTTTCGTCGTCTGTTAATGTATATGTGAATATTACTATAAATCTATCTTCGAATGATCGTTAATATTTGGTAGAGGCTATTCTAATTAATTTAAAAACTTTATAAATTGTATGTACAACTCTTTTTTTTACCTGCATTAAACTATGCATATGTATAACAAGCGAAATATTATGTGATTTAAGCATGTTTTCATTTAAGCATATAAGCATTAAAATAATTTAAAATTTTACCTTTGCGACAAGAAACCAACGTGTTTCATGTTCATTTTTAGATTCTTAAATTAATGGGCTGAAACTCTTGTTTCATAAGTTCCATATGCTCTCCATTTCTTTGTTGCTTATCATTAGAATTTTAGAATATATATATATATATATATACGTATTTTGCATTTTTTTATGTATACAATTTAACACATACCTTGGGATTATTATTAATACAAGTACATAGTTATATCCCAGTTGTTAGACATTTAATGTCTAAATGATTTTTAGATGCGCATTTCACATTACAGTACATATAAATATAAATTTTAGTTTTAAATACTATCAAAATATAATATTTGTTTATATCTTTAGAAGAAAAGCTCGAAGACTTAGACGATCGATCCCTTTGATTTCGCTAGACTATGAAAATAGATTCCGCTTTAAAAAATTTATCGTTTAAAAAAAGCATGCAAAAATAAAGAAAAAAGAAACAAATTGTAATTAAAATAAAAATGTATTTATTTCACTAAAATGTTTAACAAAACATAATACATATGTACAGTGATTGCTGCAAGCATTTTTATAAAGGAAACAGAAAACCCAATCCTTTAGGTTCAATCATTGCCAAATTTTTAAGCATTGAGTTCAAATGTGGCCATATACTACATACTTATTGATCTCTCTTTCTTCAGATTTTTTAATATCATAAACAGCTGTAGTATATTTCAAATTTCATAGACAAAAAGTAGACATTGACGAATTGGATTAGACTATACTCTATATATATAGATGAGACATTGATTGACACAAATTTGAAAGGGATCTATTGCAACTACTTTTAATCGGGTCGGGTGGGGTCTGTTTTTTGTTTGTCATTTAATATGCGCTAATTCTGTTCTTTAATGCTCTTGTTAAATTATCAACTCTCTGGAGCCTTTAATATATATATATATTGGTATCTATATGGTGTATGCATGCGTGTTTTTGTATATGTATTTGTATTTGTATGTATATATCTTTAATCACTTAATGAGATCAAGTCATATAGCGCATAATCTCGCGCAAAGCATAGAGTAATTCGGCCTGGTTACGGGCTTCCATTATCATTAGATTAACATGAACCTGCGAACAGTTGAGAAGATACGAAAAAAAGAAGAAAGAAACAAAAGAAGTTATTGTAACCAAAAAAGTGTCCGTCTTTCAGTCCTTAATCACCTTTTCACTATCCTGCAGCTCGACGAGCACACTATCATAATCCTTGGTGGTAATGCGCTCCGGAAAGCAGCAGGCTGTCTTTATAAACATTTTCAACGGGCGCACGAGCAGCTGACGATAATTAAAAACAAAAAAGTAAAATAAAAATAAATACAAAAATGTGAGTGCACTTACCTGGTTAACTTCACCGTAGTCGTAGTCGTCGTGTCGTATGCCAAATATGCACTGTATGTAATTCCAAATGGCCCGACGAAACTTCGATGTATCCACATTCTTGATGCCGCCCATTGTGAAGTATGTCAAATTGTAGGCAGCGCGAAACTTTTCGTCCAGAAAAGTGCCCACATCGTTGTACAAGCTGATCAAAGAAAAGAAAATTAAAACAGATTTCCAACAACATTTTCTTTGCTGTGACCATACCCATCCACTAGAGAATAGCCATGATCCTCCCACGAATAGTCCTGTATGCGAAATGTGTTAATATTCTCGGCACCACGGCGGGCAAAGTCCTGGTACGTGAAGCTGGCATCGTCCACATAATGCGAGATTATTGGCGGCAGGGCAACAGCCGGCTCGGGTGTAGCTGCTGCCAGCTCGGCGGTCTGCAGCTCGACGCTCTTAAAGCGATTACTTAGCTCGGCCTCGCTGCACTCGTCCTGGTTCTGGGAGAGCACCTTCATGCGCTCCATCAGCGCCTCCACAGAGATGGCACATTGATGCTGCGGCTGCAGCTCTGCGGTTGCTGTAAATCGGAAGCAACATTTATGTCAGCATTATCAAGTCAACTCTACACTCAACAGAAATCATTGACGATTTTTTGAAATATTTAATATTAAAAAATCTTCAGTTTAAACGAGGTTTTGTACGTTATTGTATCAAAAATAACATGAAATAAAAAAATATTTATGCAAACTTCCAGACTATAATTTCTTGAGAAACTATGTTGAGCTGCGACCACATTTATTGGTTCGTTATGGCCATGTTCACCTGTGCCTGTCTGTCGCTCAGTTTTAGAGCTACACAGACAAATAAATTTAGGGTATTTACTTTTCGGCTTACCCAAATAGTGTTGCCCAAAACTGTTGTTGCTGGCTGCAGTGCTGCGGCTGTTGTTATTGTCCATTGTATTGTTGTAATCGGGCTTTGTATTGTTGCCAACGCTGCCGCTGCCGCTGCCGCTGCCGCTGCCGCTGCTGTTGTTCAGTGATATCTCGCCAAGAACATTTTTCTGCTGCTGCTGCTGCTGCTGCTGCTGCTGCTGCTGGTTAATGGGGCTGGTTGTGGTTTGGCGTGCATCATCGACCGACGGCGGCGACACGGGCGCACCTTTCAATTTGGGACTAGACAAGCCGTCGAGCTTTTGTGTTAGACCGCAGGAGAACACAAACGAGGAGAGCGAATGGAAATGCGATAGCAATACCATTGCGTGCACCACCTCCGACAGGGACCAGCTGCTCCTGCCCTTGGTCAGACGCTGCAAATGCAAATGCAAATTCAAATCATTAAGGATTTAGAAGAGATGTTTGCTGCGTCTATCTATATGCACATACCTCGATATGTTCCTTGCGCAACAGCCAGGGACGATGGGCTAATATCTTATTTATATCGTATATGGCACGTAATTTGGCGGGTATATAGTCCAGCCCATTTAGCCATTCGCTGTTGCCGCCCTGATTAATGAACTCCTTCTCGTAGCGTTTCACCAGATAGGGGCATTGATGGCGTGCGGCTGCCTAAAAACAAGAGAAACAATCAAAATCAGAGAATCAACAATCTAAAGCAAACGATTTTCGACAATAAAATGATCCCCTACAGTTTCCCAGAGACACTCAGAGCCCATTAAAAGCGCCTGGGAGAGCAGCTACACCTGAAAATGCGCTAAAAATATGCTACGTTGTATCTGTGTGTGTGTGTGTGTGTGTGTGTGTGTGACCCAAAATAAGACGAAGACAAATATTCGAAACGCAGGCCAATGTTTTGACTTTTAACATCGCTTTTGTTTTTTTTTCATATTTTTTGTTGCTGCGTCATCGATGGGGCTTCACTGTACCTGCATCATGCCATGCAGCTATAAATCTGCCAATATTTTACATTTATAAAATGCAACATTCAGTCGCCCAGCACTATGGATATACTATATTCTCATTCTCATTCTCATTCCTGAAATGTTGCGCGGCATGGGTTAAATGAATGTGTTTATTATTTTGAGCAAAACAAAAAGTCAAAGACCCAGAATACCCAAATACTCTCATATCTTATCTTGTTTATGATTATTGCACACACACATACACACACACACGTATACGAGACGTAGGAAAATTTTATTTGAAATAAACAGACAGCCAAGGCGAAAATGCGAAAATATTTTCGATTCAATTGAGAATGGCCGGAAAATCAATTTATCGCAAATGCAGTTGGAAAAACCTGATGCCTGTTATGGATCTTTAATTTTACAAAAAAAAAAAAGCACAGAATTTCACATAAAATATTTTTGTAGTAAATAAAAAAAAAAAAGGGAAAAACAATACCGAAAAAATGTAAGAAACGAGAAACGAGAACAAAAATTGGGCTTGCAAAGAAAATTGCATTGGCAAAAAATGTAACTTTACAGTTACCATTTTATTATCTGAGAGGTGTGTGTGTGTGTGTGTGTGTGTGGGTGGGCGTATAAGTCGCATTCACATTCACATTCGCATTGTTGTTGCAGTCAGTGAGAAATTGAAATTAAGTGCGTCATAAATCAATTTTAATTACGATGTTGTTCATACAAATTTTTCTATTTTTAAATTTTCCGCCGCTGAATTTTGTTGTTTTTCAAATTTAATCAAAATTTTCCGCCAAGTACACGTTTTTCTTATACATTATACTAAAAACTTTCAACTGCTGTGGATTATCTATAAAAGCAAGTTGATAGCACAAAATGACTTTTCCTGGCGCACAAAGCAGCTTTACGGCAAAAATAGAAACTTTAACAAAATTCTTAAGTATGTGTGTGAGTATGTGAGTGTGTGTGTGCGTGTGTGTGAGCACAACTGAAAGGCTTTACTTTCCGCAAGAAGCTTTGCCCAAATGGGTATACATTTTATTTACAGCGTCCTTTGCCACAATTTTCTGAACATTTTCTAATGCCTTTGTGTAAAATTAAATTCTCGTATGAGAAGTCGCAAGTCATAAGCTTGTTATCAGAAACTGCGGCATCAAGTTTTCTACTATATTGTTCATAAATGGACAAAGGAGTTTCGCCCAAGTTGCTCTAATAAACTCATGAGGCGTTCTTACCTGGGATTAATTCAATTGTTAAATGCCATTTAAGATTCCTGGCTGACACCTGGTTGCAACGAGTTGCATGAATATATAAAATGCTGTCAGCTGTTATTAGGCAAACTTGTTTGCTGCGCAACATTTCTATTGTTTCGGGCATTTGGGCATTCTGTATCACCTGCCATAGACACACACACAATACCCAACCGCTCCGTCAAGAATTTCTATTCTTGTGACATGTGTTGCAGCTAGTATAACAAATAGAGCTTAAAGCCAACAGCACTTTTTCACTGCACTGCCGAGAGAGCTCAGAACAGTGGAAATAATTTGCTGTTGTTGATTCCCCAATGTGTAACTTGTTGTGCGGGTGTGTGGGTGTGTATGCGGGTGTGTGTGTGTGCGAGTGTGGAGGCTGCTGTCATTGATAGGAGGGCATCAACAGGCAACAAGCAGCAAATGTGAGAGCTAATGTGCTTAAATTTGCCAGTGGCAACAATGCACAATGCAACCACACGAGCACGAACACAGGCACAGATACACAGATACAGATACAAAGATACACAGATACATAGATACTGATACAAAGATACAGCCGCAGCCGCGGGCAGTCGGAAATATGATGAATACTTTGAAACTGCACATTGGAAAGGGACCAAGAAAAGGGACATAAACAATAGAGAATGCCAATTAAAATGTGATAAATTATAAGAAATTAGGCGCAAATAATAAAAAAAAAACTACTCACAATTATGGCCAAATAGTATCTATAAGCATATGGCAAAGGTCCATCGCCTTTCATAATAAAGTTCTGCGTGCGCAGAAAATGATCACGATAAAGTGGATGATAGCCAATCACCTGCGTCACCTGATCGCAATCATCGAGATCATCCATATCAAAATCTGTGGACGAGCACTGAAAAAATAAGAAGTGAAAGGAAAAAGTATTAAATAACCAATTACGATGAAAAGCATGCGTATACTTAATGCTTATATGTTGCGCATACGTCGCGTATAACAGCGCATAAATAAACGTAATAAAAGCAAACATAATTGAAAAAAATACTTTGTTTAATGTTCGGTTTTCGCAATGTTTGCACATATCAAATATAACTTTTTAATTAAGCAACATTCGTTATGCAACATTCTACAATTCACTTGCGCATCATATTGATATCCTCTGTGTTAACATTAAGCGCAAAAAGTCATTATTTGCAATGAGCCACTTTATTGGCTCCTTTCGGATTGCCCCAATCAATAAACAGTTGCCATGGCAAAACTGACGCAGATTCCGTCCACCGAATGCATTCTGCTCAGATATATATGTGTAATGCGCTTTTAGTGGGGCCAAAGGTAAACGCAAGGGCACAGACACGGGCACAGGTAAAGGTAAAGGCAAAGGAATTGTGTATATTGCTCTCTATTAGAGAAGCGGGACGAAGGGCAACAAGTTGAGCCACTAAAGCTGATTGGCAAATTGAATGGAGCTGAGTTGAGTCTCTGCACTCGCTTGCATAAATGCGACTGGACAAATGTTTAAGCAGCGCAGCTATTATTAATATTATCGCAATGAGCTGAGACTGGCAGCAGGAGGAGCTCTTTGAAGTTGCCAGTAAACAAATACAGCACAAAAGCAGCTCTTGTTTGTTATTTAGTAGTGTATCTAGCATACATACATACATACATACATATACATATACTATAAGCTCGATCGTTAATCAACAACACATGTTTATGCGTTTCCAGCAGCATTTTCTATATTTTTATCGCTGTCTGCAGCTACAGCTCCACTGACTGACTGACTGACTGACTGACTGACTGACTGACTGACTGACTGGCTGACTGACTGACTGACTGACTGACTGACTGGCTGACTGACTGACTGACTGGCTGACTGACTGAGAGACTGACTGAGAGACTGACAGACTGACTGACTGACTGACTGACTGACTGACTGACTGACTGACTGACTGACTGACTGACTGACTGACTGACTGACTGACTGACTGACTGACTGACTGACTGACTGACTGACTGACTGACTGACTGGCTGACTGACTGACTGACTGACTGACTGACTGACTGACTGACTGACTGACTGACTGGCTGGCTGACTGACTGTAAAAATGTTAATCAAAGTTGTTTTGTGTTGTTGGCTTTTTATTATTTCATTTTTTTTTTATTTTGCTTTTTCTGTTGTTGTTTATGCGGCTGCCTACTAAACTGGGGCGATGTTATTAAACGTTCAATGACTTTTTTTTGTTAGTTGTTATTTGTTTGTTTTTCTTCTCATTTCTTTGCAGTCAGACTAAGTCGCCGCTTGATTCTTGATAGCGCAGCGTCTACTTATAGACCATCGCTTATCGTATGTACTATATATCATATATATATGAGCTTGGCCACAATCCGAAGAATCATTTGGTGCTAAATAAATGTTAGTTGCTAACATTTAACCTAAACAATTTGCACATATATATCACGACCTTAATACGCCCACACACACACACACACACACACACACACACACACACACAGCCTTATTCTAAAAGTAATCATGCCATTTTTGGCAAACTTGAAAATGTATCGTATCGTATACCCTGTGTTGCCTAGTCAAAGTTGTTTGACATTGAAACACGCCCACAGTTAAATGGAAATGTTTCATAATACGTTTATTTGTTCTATTGATGTTTTGGTTATTTTGTAGCCAGTTGCTAAATAGCAGCCAAATATAATAAATAAATATGACAAGCTGCACATTTACAATGAGTTGAATAAATCAAAAGGTTTTGGCCTGTTTCTCTGTGTAATACTTCTTGTAAAATGCCAACACTTGCACACATAATTAATTGGTTCGAATGTCGAGATACATATTTTTTTGGTAGCCAGCGTCTGCCGAGAACTTAACATAAACAAGATATTCGATTAATCAATGTGATTTATGGCCAACGATTCACATGCAAATTGATGATCAATTTAAATACATATCTAAATAGTTTGCTTTGCTTTGCTTTGCTAATTTGCAAAATCAACTATTTCTTTTGGGCAAATTAAATGCCACAGCTTGAACAGTATTTAATCGAGTCGCACAAAAAACTGCAGATAAATAATGCCAAAGTTTTCCAGTAGAGGAATTGTCGCGCATCAAAAAAAACCAAAACAAATATGTCACAATTTTACGATCGGGTCAAACCGACTGCGCTATGCCCTTTCACAGGCTGTCTCCCCCAAATTTATTAAGAGTTATGGAACTTTTCAACTCTCAACAATTGTTCTTTAAAGCAAAGTCTCAAGTCCAAACTTGATCTATCTAATTGTCAATTATATACATATATATGCCAAGTCTCGCACAAAACTAATATACTCTTTTTGCATATGGTGAACGAGTGTATCAACTAATTACTTAATTATGCCCATTCACAGTCTGTCTCCCACAAATTTATTAAGAGTTGTGGAATTTTTCAACTTGTTCTTTAAAGCAAAGTCTCAAGTCCAAACTTGATCTCTCTCGCACAAAACTAATATACTCTTTTTGCATATGGTGAACGAGTGTATCAACTAATTACAGCTACCAGTTGAAAGTCGACTCTTGTTGTTGTTTTTTTGTATCTTTTGTTGTTTTTTATTTGCATTTGTCTTTTTTGTTTTTTTAGCATTTTAATTGGCGCCAGGGCAAAACTTGACAGACTTTTTCGCGCTTCGCTCGGAATAAGATAAAAAAAAAAAAAAAGCCGTTGACAAATTGTGTAAGACACAAATTATAATTAATTAATGTCAGTCAATTGAGTATAAATTACGGAGAATGTTGCGCTGTCGTTTCTTATTTATTTAGGAAAAGCGCTTTTCAAAAGCGCTCAGTCAAGAAAGTGTAGGGTATAAAATATATATGTATATGTGTATATATGTGGAAAATTAGCTCGGCTGGCAGAGAGAAACCCGTTTGTGAAGCAAACCGCTTTGACTTTGACTCAACTTACATTGAGCCCAGTTGAGGACCAGTTGGTTGGTTTCACAAAGTCGATTACATGGCCAACACAGGAGCGGGCACAAACGCAGCTTGTTTAGGCCAAGTTTAGTGGATACTGACTGGCTTTTTGTCAACTAGAAAGTTACACTGACAATATATAGGGTATCTTGCGTTCGATATACTTTCGTGCTCTTAATTGTTGTTTGCTTTCTGTTGCGTTCGATTCAAAACTCGTTCGTCAGCGTGGCGTATACGTGATATGACAAGACGCTCTTGGTTGCACTTTGACACGCTTAATTTGGCTCGGGAATTGACAACTCGCCTCGAGTTACACGTCAAATTCAAATGTTGACAGTCGCTCTTCATATTGATTGAATATACTTTAGTAATATATTCATCAGTTCCAAAAGCAAATGATAAATATTTCTTTTTTTTTTTTGATTTCACAACTGAACAACTTCGGAATACGAAACATAAAACATTAAATGGAGGTCAGAGCAAGACGTTAGAGGAAGCAGATCTTGATATACATACATAAGTCGTGACTGAGCATAATATATGGCTACACACACATTAAATTTGTTGTGTTCTCCAAACCCAAACCCAAAACTGAAACCCGAGCCGAGCCGAGGCCCATGCTTATGCATTCATGCATAAATTTGAGCATAATTGAGTGGACTTTAAGTAAAATGGCAGCTGCAAAGCATAACAAGTGATACTTTGCAGCAAGGGCAGGCGGCAACAAGTTTTCGAGTCCCCAGCAGGGGCTTTTCGACCATTTTCGACCATATTCGACCATTTTCGACTTGCCCTGATGACAGCCCACAAACGCAAATAGTTGAGCCGTGGTGTGTGTACATTCAATGTACTTTATTCTGTTTTGTGCGTCAACTTTTAGCGGTCACTGTGACGGGAAGTGTGTTTACGCTGAAAATCACGAAGCGTAGCGATTATAAAGCCGAGCTAGTGTCAGAGGCGGACACACACATCACATCACGTCTTCACAGTGCCTGCTATTCGTCAGCCGTCAGTTAACTTACAATTGTTAGTGTTGTTTTTCTTTACGCTGCTCGAGCTTATGTTAATGCGGGTAATTAATTATATTGTAAGCAAATTTTGATTTCCTCTTTAAAAAATAATAATAAATGGGAGCAGAAAAGCGCACGAATTACAACAAAAACCGAAATAAACTAAATTATGCACAAAATTAGCATAATTAGTTAGCCCAACACAAAGCGAGTAAAATACCCTTTTATTTCTGACAGCTTGATTCACTTATATGTAGGTTTTTCAGACATTCTATCTCTCTGGCTTGCTGCGGTTTTCACTTAGCTCTTTTGTCTTGAATTTTCATAGCTATTATTTTTTTGATATTTTTTATTTTTTTCGTGTGGGCGCGTTTTGAACTCGCAGGGGTTTCGCTTCAAATGTCAACAGTAGTGGCCTCAGCAAATTAAAACAAAAGCTGGTAAACAAGCAAATAAATTAGCATAAATAGTAGACGGCTCAAAAAGAGAAATAGCAAACAATAAGTAGGTAGGTAGATAGGTAGATAGGTAGATAGGTGGATAGGTAGTTGGGTGAATAATAGGTGGGTAAACACAAGTAAAGTGGAAAAAACGGCAGGTGTTAGAAATGCAAACTGAATAAGTGTGTGTAAGTATGAAAACGAAATAATAAAAAATAATAGTACAAAGAATATCAAATCAACAAGTTGAGAGCATTTTTCCACAGCATACAGAAACCTTTCTATATATATATACTATATGTTAATTTGTATCTGTATAAGTGAGTGTGTGTGTGTGTGTGTGTGTGTGTGTCTATTGGCGGCTGCATTATAAACTATTTGTTGTGCACTTGCGCGTGTGCGTAGCTAATAAAGACGCGCGTCTAGACGCGATAAACTATCAAACTCATAAGTGTACTATATACTAATAAGTGGATTTTTAAGT